CGCGTTCAAGCCGATCCATTCGCGCTACAACTATAAAATAGCTGTAGCGCAGTGTAGCTCTACCACGTAAAAAACGAAGTATACTGCTGATAAGGATGAATGAAAACCAAGAAAAATAAAAATTAAGTCTATTTCTAATTTATTACCACATAATATAAGTTGCCTGGTGTACCCACTATTTAGAAGTAATATTACTAATGGAACAATAAAAAGCTTTCTCACAGATATAGTTAACCAATGGCGTCAATCGAAGGTCACGCGGATTTCTTTACTGCAAATTTAGGCAATTATCTCAATTACATTTTGTTTATAGGAGAATAGAATTGAACAATTAATTTTTTAATTGCTCTTAAAAGATTGAAGTAACTAAAAAAAAACAAGCAAACGTGTTTATTTATGATACATTTTGTCATTCTGGTGTTTTGATTGTATCGAAAACTATTGAATATTTTCGGTTGCGTGGGCATTATATATTATAGTAGGTTTTCTGGACAGAGTCAATGTGCTATAAACAGTATCCTACAAACAGTATCTGACTACTAATAGTCAGATAATCCATTGTTGTCCACCGTGCATTGGTTCTCTATTCAAAACCACTCCTACGCGGAAAATGAGGCCTACCACCTAGATATAAATACACAATTTAATGTGATTCATAAACATAGTTGATTTCATAAACATACTTTGACATCCTAGTCTACAAAACTCTAATCCAAAAACAATTTTATTCCTTAAAAATAAATACTATTTCCTATCAAATTCGCGTACAAAAGTTTTATGTGTGTAAATAATTAAGAAATGACTAAGCTTTATGTAAAAATAATCAAGGCTTAAGCCAAATTTCTTTAGTATCAGCTATATGTTGCCGTGTAGTGGAGTTGTAAGAATATCCACTACCTCATATCATCCCGTTGGTTGTGGATGTTGTAAGAGGCGATAGAGGGAAACTGAAACATGAGATGGGCACCAGCGTCTTCCTGATAACGACTGAAAGTAATACAATCTGCAATTGCCCATCCGCCTGCCAAGTGCAGCGTAGATATGAGGCATGTGCTAATCTATAGGGAAACCCTATGTGTAGAAGTAGACTTTAAATACGCTATAAAGAATGAAAATAAAGTAGGTTGTACGTTCTAATTTAATGAATAATTAATGATTACTACTATTAAAGAATTACTTAAATTTCTAATGACAAACACTTCGAAACATTAAATAGATTTGAGCTGAATCGAATGAGAATCACCCTAATGGTTTGAGTAGTATTTTTAACCTTTACTGCACACTGCATTTAAGCAACGGACGATGAAGTGCGCGCGCTGCGTTCCGGCGCTACCGGATAAATTAATTGAGTCTCTTTTAAGTACCACAGCGTCTTATTAGTTACAACACTTAACTGTAATTTGAATTCAAGGTAACTATTTTCGTCCAATCGTGTTATTGCCATAAATAAAACGCGTGCTGGCCCAGTCGGAACGGATTTTCCGTTTTCACCTGCGGTTGCGCAGAGATAAACAGCCAGCCGGTCGAGAAACACGAACATGGTTTATTGATCTAATGGAATGTCTAATTAAATCGTTTGCCGCGTGACGTCTTGATGAGATCTCGACACCAGCGACGCATGTAATGTTTTAACTAGAAATATTTATTTTTATTTTTAACTTTAAGCTTAGAGAAGATACAATTTTTTTGAATTAAAAATATAACTTATTAATGTTAATTCTCATTATAAAGTCAAAAATGTTAATAATGTTAAATCAAATTTTAACGATGTCAGCCGAAGGGCTCTTGTCTCTATAAATGTTCTGTCTATTTTAGAGCCTTGTGGAATATTTAGAGACGATGGTAGGAGACCCGACGGTACGACATTGGTCCCTTGGGAGAGTGGCAAAGTCCTAGTGTGGGATGCTACTTGTGTAGACGCTTTGGCGGCTTCTCATCTCAGTGGTACCTCGTTTAGAGCTGGGGCGGCATCAGAGGCAGCTGAACTAAGTAAGTGGCGCAAATATAAGTCTACATATTTGTGCCATTTGCTGTAGAGACTATCGGTTCGTGGGGTCCACGTGCGTTGAAGTTCCTAAAGCAACTTCATCCGCGGCTGGTCGTTGCTGCTGGTGATAAGAACGCTGGTTCTTTTCTCGCTCAAAGGCTAAGTATAGCCATTCAGCGGGGAAACGCAGCCAGCTTTCCCGGCACAATACCAGTGGGAGTAGGACTGTATGATAATTAAGTTATTAGTTTTAGTTTTATTTTTAACTATAGTTTTTTTAATATTATTCATAATCAAATCAAATTAGGTTGATATGAAACGTGACCAATCGATTTGTTCTTAAAATAGTTTATAAATTCATACAAGTTTTCAAGTATCTACATATTTATTTGCTCACTAAGTGCACCTTATCCTCTTAATATATTTTACAAATGTTACTTATCACTTAGTAACTTAATAACCTTTTACAGGCGTTGCAAAAAAGAACATTTAGTAGATAATATTCTTTAAATTAACTAATTAACAAAAACATTTTAGATATCATAATTAAAATAAAAACTAAATATATTAAGCAAGGTTATAAGGCAACATAAAATTATTTATGCATGTATTTTCCTTTTAATTAACATTAAATTATACTACATTTGTGCCAGCCTTTTGGCACAGTGCCAACCTTTGGCTGGCGGCGCTGCGGGCCCCGGGTTCGAACACCACATGGAAAAACCATTTGTATGAGCTATTAATACTTTTTCCGTATAGATGATAAGGTAAAAAACGTCTTCACGATAAAAAAATATTCCAACTGAGGAGTCGCCGTTTTTATTGCTTCTTTATATTACATTTAAAGAAATAAACTTAACGATTTGGAGTTACGTATAAATTTGCTTGTTGTAAAATTATTCTAGATTTTTCAAAGTTATCCCCATACAAGGATTTTATCCTGTATCGTGGAGGCAGTTTACAAACATAATTGCACAAGCACACACATCCAGACCCGGTACAATTATTTGTAGGCCATACAAATACTTGCTCCGTACGGGATTCGAACCCGTGGCCCCCTGCGCTACAACTAATTGCTGAGCCACTGTGGAACGGAGCCGTCAGAAAAGATTTCATTTCCATTTTTTTTTCATATTTTACCATATATTTGTTTTTTATTATACGTTGCTGTCCGTTAAGAGCTGTGGTAGTTCGTGGTTGCCATTTTAAGTGCTGATTTAATACGTGCTATGCGGTGAAGGACGACATCATAAGGAAACCTGCATGCCTGGGAAATTAAGATAGTGGGGCAGCATGGCAGACATTTTCTTGCCCTCAAACACTCTCTGGAGGCCCGTATTTAGCGTGTAACTTTATTTACTTTACTTGCAGTACGTCGCGAGGCCGTGTCGGTTGATCGTTTTATAATAGAGGACACCGTTACGAATAAATATAATTAAGCGCCATTAAAATCAAATTAATCGTATTCTGATTTTAAAAAGGATAATGAGTATCTTTATTAATATTACATTAAATTGCCGTTAAAGTCTAAGAATAGACATAGGCTTAGCTGTAGGTATATCACTAAATGACTGAAAAACAATCCTTCGTCTGGACGTATAACCTATACGTTGACAGATCTTAAATCACAGACGTTAAATTATCAGATTACCGTCGCTTTCGACTATTGATGTACATTTTCGTTATTGTACTCATATAATACTTAGACAGTTACCGTTGCAGCCTGTCAAAAGTCCATTGTTCTACACAGGGCTGCCCATAAATATTTGATAAGGCAGGCGCATTGAAAATCGTAGTTTTTTTAGTTCGAAGACGCTGATACCCATTTCCTGGTTTGTTTACGTCTGACGTCTCTCACGACACCGACGGGACGATATGGGGAAAGGGATATTCTTTCACGGCCACGCGGTCGTTGTTTACATAGTTAAAGCAAAATATTAACCACTAAGACACATCATTGTTCAGAGACCTTTAATCTGAATAACTAACAGAAAATGTATGTAAAGTACTTAGGTTTTAATTTTTGTTGCGAAACACTGGATATGTTTCCTAATTGCGTCCGTTTTCTTAACTAAACACGTAAAACTGTGGCAACTATTATTTACAAATTAAGTTAGATGCTTTTTTATTTAAATATTATAAATTAATCTTACATAGGTGAATCAGATCGAATTATTAGCTTTTGCAAAACGTCACGGTACCACCTCCAATAAATTAACATTTTTTTTAATGTAAATTTTTACCGTAGTGGAAAACTGGATGTTAACCAGTTTGACAGTCTGCTGAGTACTTATTAATGGATCTTAGTCAGTCGTAGTCGTTCAAGCCACAAGAACGTGGTGACACGTTATTTAATAATAATTAGAGAACACAATATTTAAATTATAGTAACACGCGTGTAATCAGATTAATAATTAGTTCCTCTCAATCGAGCTGTCGAGGTTGAATGTCTGTAGTAAAAAGAAATTATTAAAACTTATGCATATTTTTTTTAATATACCACGTTTTCATATTGTAACATTGTTATCACATCCTGAGCTATGTTTTGAATTTCAAGTCTCTTGCTCATCTAAAAGTTAGTTTAAAATCAATTTCTATCTTCGACCCAAAAATACATACTCGAAAACGAGTTACTCATAATACAAACATTTAAAAAATAAACATAGCTAATAGTTATTTGAAGTAATGTTTAGTTTTAATTAAAACGTAAAAGATTAGTGTCAGTTCGACGACTAGCTACAATTTAGAAGTACATAAAGAAATTTCATGGTCTGCTAATGATTGTGGCTTTCATTAAGTATTCCTGTATTTTATTTTGAATTAAAAACTGTTCCATTTTAAATTATGAATTATTTATTTGCTGTATCAAATTTTTTAAATGATTTGTTACTCTGGTCATTAGTAATACAAGTATAGTGTAAACAAAGCTGTGAATTCTCAATAGAGAAAAATTTGTTTGTTTTGATATTGTGATCTTTTGTTAAAAACTGTTTTGACGAATTTTGTGAAAAACATGACAATATTTATTTGCAGATATGATGGACAGGCCACGGTAGTACCGAAGATGATTTTGTTACCGTGGTCTTTGGTGATTCTGGTGACGATGGCGGTGGAAGCGTCATCGAAACCAGAAGCCGGCTTGCAAACTGTAATCGACAGCTCTTCGGATATACAACTTTCGACTGTATCTGAACAATCTACATCCATTACTAAAATTAACGAAGAAACAGAACTAACTCATCCGACGGAGACGAAACTTCAAGCGTCGTCAATATCCCAAAACGAGACTTCACCTACGAAGCAGGTATTAAATGTTGCAACGGAATCCACGGTAGCTAATGAGAACAAAGAGAAAGAAAGCTACCAAGCTTCAGCTACCGAGGAGAGAACAGAAGACGAGTCAAATGACAGGCTAAACTGTCCAGCTCAATGCGATTGCATCAAGCAAACCGATAGAACGAGCTATAATTGCTCGTTGCCAAGCGGCGCCGTCATCATCACCGAGTACGGTGATGGAATATTTTTTGAGTGCTTGGTGAGTAGCTTTTTTATTATATATTCAGTTAAAATAGTCTTATTACCGTTACCGTTACCGTTACAGCATAATAAAGTCCACTGTTGAATATAGGCCTCCTCCATAGATTGCCTCCCAGGGACATATATTCCATAACTGTGGAAAGCGGGTTGGCAAGCGCCGTTATTATTTTTAGTCGTTATTAGGAAGATGTTGCTGCCCATCTCCTGATTTGTTTCCCTCTGTCGCCTCTGACGAACGACAGAATATCCACTACCTCATATCATTCCGTGGACATCCACGGATAGCAGTGGATATTCTTGCATCGTCACTTCACGGATTAATAAAGCCTTATTACTGAAAGCTTTAACGTTGTTTGTACCAAATGATTTCATATTATTTTGACAACTATTCGTCTTTCGTTATAAACTATAATAGTCCACTTTTCACTGCCGTGTGGTGGTGGCGTGAGAGAATTCATCACGGGGAGATCTGTTTATGACTTTGCCTTGGCAAATGGTCTTACACAGCTGGTTACTTCGCGTAAGCGGATTCCAGATGTTCAGGAGGATCACGCACCTTCCCTGTTGGATCTTCTGCTGATCTTTCATCCGGAAGGATATCAGGTTTCCGTCGACCCCCTCTAGGCTTGTTGGACCATTGTCTTGTCCGGAATGTGGTGCCACTCACACTAACGTCGTGGTTGTATTCTGCAGGCTACGGCCGTATTTGGTACTATAAGTCGGCCCATTGGGATAGGATGCGGTCTTTTTCTGCATCCTACCCTTGGCGGTTTTGCTTCTAGCCGGATGATTACATCATTGTTGCTGATTTTGTCGCTGATGTGGTACTTCAGGGTATGGGAGCTTTTTAATTTATCCTCGGTGGTGCCCATCGGAGGCAGATCCCAGTCATGGTTTGGTCACTCCTGTAAAATAGCATTGCGCTCTAAGCAGGAGTACTACCGGACCTGGGCTGACGCGTCAACGTTTCGGGCATCGTCTCGGAATGTAAACTGCTATTAAAAAGAAGTATAATTCTGCCTCCAGGTTCTTCAAAAGAGCCAAGCTAAGGTCTGAGCACATCGATAGAATTGGCGAGAAGCAAGTTCGTCTTTCTTCGGGAACCCGTGCATTCTGGTCTATTGCCAAAGCTGGCCAAGGGAAATTCTGTCAATTATCTCTTCCATCTCTGCACAGAGAGGACGACTCACTGGCCCATGCCGTAAAGGAGAAAACCGATCTGTTAGGCTCTCTCTTTGCGTCCAACTCGACTCTTGATGACGGGGGAAGCACACCGCCGACCATCCTGCGGTGTGAATGCTCCAAGCCGAATGTGCGTTTTACATAGCGATCGGTTCGCAAATCACTCCTCTCCCTGGACATCAGCAAGTCGAGTGGGCCTGATAGAGTACCTCCCATTGTGCTGACGAGGTGTGCTCCAGCGTTGGCACCAGTTTTAATGCGTCTTTTCCGGTACTCCAACTCTAAGGCGTAGTCCCGAAATCATGGAAGACAGCTTTGGTCCACCCGATCCCTAAAAAAGGCGACCACTCACACCGCCAATTCGTTTTCCGTTGGGGACGATCAGCTGATGATCTTCTGGTGTACCTGACGCATAGATAGACGGAGGCAGTAAAGTCCAAGGGGGAGACATTGGCCGTTAGTTGGACATATCGAAGGCCTTTGATCGTTTCTGGCACAAAGTACTTCTTTCGAAGCTCCTTTCCTATGGCCTTCCCAAGGAATTGTGCATTTGGATCACTAGTTTCCTTGCTGATCAGACTATCAAGGTCGTAGTAGACGGTGCATGCTTTGATAACAAGCGTGTTAACACTGGTATTCCACAAATCTGCGTGCTATCACTAACGCTGTTTCTTCTGCATATTGTGACGCCTCATAATTATTATTAATAAATAATAATTAAATTCATTATACAGACATTTAAAAATGTCATAGAAATTATAATTTAAACAATAAAATGCAAATAATAAGCATAGAGTTCAAAAATATCCATTTGGAATATTGAATGTTATATATATTAGTAAACGCATAAAATGTCTCTAAAAATCTCTAAATTTATTAAAAAACCTGCTTAAAATGTTTAAAATATATCAAATCATATAAATACAAGGCGATTATATTGCAATAACAAAGATAAATAACATTTGTAATATAATAGAAAAAATGGATTAAAATTTTCTAAGTTGATGAAGGAGTTCGTGTAATAATTGGAAAATTTCTAAGTTAATGAACGTGTTCTTGTAATGTACCCTTATATTGGGGCGTTGTCGGAGACACATACCCAAGGTTGTACATATATATGGGGTGGTCGGCTGACCGACTGCTAGTACTAAGGTTGCACAATGACTAGTCCTATATTAGGGACTTAACATAGTAAGGTCTGACGAACCAAAGCATTAATATAGAAGGTCTCTATGATGCATAAGCATTATGATAGCAGAGTTATGACTTGAAGTCCCATATGAATAAGACATACAGTAGTATGGTCTATGAAATAAAGCAAATATGTGGAAGGTCTCAAATATGTAAAAGCATTATATTGAAAGAAATGGGACTTGAAAAGGATTATTATAGTGGCGTGTAGGTTGCTTCGCAGCCTCTGAGACCGAGGTAAACTTGGACTCACTAACCGATGTGTCCTAGACATATCATCTTAGTGCCGGTGGTAAGCGGGTTTGTTGTAGCAATACGACTTGCCCGTGGACATCGCACACCCCTACCGGTTGTGGGCGGCGTCTTAGCGCATAGCGTTATGATACGTCGGCTATCTTTCGGATTAGGGTGAGTGTGTTTGGTAGTACTTTTAAGTGCAGCAAGCATACTCAACTTCATGTCTTAGTGCAATAGCGCTATGATACGTGGAGTTTTGGCTACTGACGTCTTAGTACCGTACTACTATGATACGTTAGTGGTATTTTTAGTTAACAACATTATCAAATTTTGTTACCAAAGTCGATAGGGATCATGTGGGTGTGTTGTGAGGGGGCGCCATCCGTATGATAGTTGCATTGATGCTTACTGCTACTTGCAGTATTGTGTCTTGTGATGGATCTGCGGGTGTGCTGCACCTGATTCGATACATCTTGTGGTTCTGGTCGATGGAGGTATGCGGGTGGTGATGTCTGCTGGGACTGTATGGGGGACCTTGGGATGGTGTAAGCCCGACGATAGTCGTATTGATGCTTGTTGCATTCTGTAGCATTGCGTCTCTACGATGGTTGTTTGGCGGGTCGCTATTCTCAATGGCGCTCTCTGCGTCTTGGTTTGACTCACAACCTAAGTAGCTTTGCCCAAGTCGGGTCCCTTCATTGCGGGGCTGCAGACTGTCTGCCCTCCATGATGTTTTATATAACAACTTAATAATATATCTCTATAAAGTTCCCACCTTTGAGAGATTGAAGGCAACTTGTTGGTGGGTGAGACAAACATGATCGAAAAATGCATATACTCAACGTCAGTGACACAAACCCGTTCTGATGGCGAATTATTAATATTATCTTATAACTGCCTATTGGCTATATCTGCCATTGTATTGGTTGGTGGAGCATATGTGTTGACCTCATGCGGGTGGTAGCTGGAGGGAGAATCTGAGGAGGCTCTCAAGGCTGCGGCCGAAAGCCGCGCAACGTGGGACCCCATTCCCTTGAGGTGAGCGGTAGACTCATGACACGCTCTGCGGCCAATTGGCCGTGCTGACCATGCAATTGGTGGTGATGCCTTACACTTACATCACGTCTGCAGGAACGGCGGTCTGGCAGGTGGTGGCGCTCACGGAAGGCTTTTTATGGTCAGTGTGCCTATTGTTGCCTAACCCGTGTGACGTACATTCACTGTGACTGGATTTGATCGTATTCTGTATGGCGTTTACACGCATTGACATGCGCGACTTCGGTCGATGTTTGTGCTTACGCACTGTCAAGGGGCCAAGTCCTCTTTTACTGGTTCGCCAGTTATTTTGCTGTGGACTACGGTCCAGTTCCCAACTTTGCGTACCCTTCGGGGGGAGCGCATTAAAATGGTTGGCGCTCACCGTGCGCGGCGTGTGTGGGGCCGTGTACCTCCTCCACATTTTTTTAAAATGTGGGAGAGCGAAGCCCTTGTAACTGGTATTTGATATAAATATTGTGAGCCTTTTCCAAGCGGGAAGGGATTAATTAATAAGGAATTGACTGTTGTGAACCAGATACAAGTGGAATAGGGACAATTTATTGTTCTTAACCTTTTTGAGCTCCGTCTTCGTGAACGGGGTTCTCTAGCTTATAAGACTCTACCAACAGCTTTCGATTGCTCTCGTGAATATTCATTCTTCCAAGATACACCTAAAAGAACTAAGTTACTATACAAACACAACGTAAAAAAGGGTCCTAACTAAGACGATCACGCCATAAATTTATTAAACGGCCTATATTTAAACCTTTAGAAAGATCAAGTTATACTGGTCACGTAAATTAGATATATTTATATATTTTACAGATATAGATTCTAAAGAAATACAAGTATAAGTGGATATATAGTAGAAGAGAAAAAAGATGGGGGGGGGTTGGTTACAATTTGGTGCCGTGACCAGGATAGAGGTTAAATTTTAAATAGGAGGCCGGTAATATAAAATTATGAGGTAGGCTATATGCCTACAATTTGTTGTCCGTGAAATGGAGAGGTGTCTTGGAGAGTGGTGTTTGCTGGGGGTGGTTGAGAGTCTGGGGGTGGGGCTTAAATATTAAAATTGAGTAATAATATAGGAGACGTGTGCATAACGGAGCAAAATAATAAAAAGTGAAATAAGTGGAAAGACTCAATAAAACTAAGGGAAGGACACAACAGGTGTAAAAAAAAAAAAAAAAAAAAAAAAAAAAAAAAAAAAAAAAAAAAAACTGCAATCCTATATATTATAAAGTGAAATAAGTGGAAAAACTCAATTAAAGTAACTGAAGGACACAAAAAGTGTAAAAAAAAAAAGTGGAAATAAAAATTAAATAAGAAAAAATCAACCTCAGTTAA